AAAGTATATGGTGGCAGACTTAGGGGGTGTTTGGTTCAAGCAAATTTTTGGCATATCGAGTGGACTTCAAATTCTAGGATAAAAAAAATGAGTTTTCTTTTGTGGTTTTTGGATTCCATAATTTGTGTTTTGTTTCAAGCAAAATTTTGGGATCTTGAATCCCTAAATTGCAAAAACCACTCAAGTTTTAGAATTTGCGAAATCCAGATACATGGAGAGAATTTGGGGTGGATCTCTAACAATTATATCCACATCAGCAAAAACCGATTTCACTCATGACCACCAAAACTAGTAGTGGAAGAGCCTGTAGCCCTATTCTCACCACTTCCCATTTTCTCTCCCTCCTCATTTACTCGCCTCCTCCATTTCCTGACCATGTGACACCAGACTCATCGCAGGTCGAGTCAGTGAAAGTTATTATAATAGATTCACCAGAGTCTGAGGTTGATCATTTTGAGGACGAGGATTCATCAGTGGAGGTTATTCCAGTTGAGTTCTCACCTTCAGAAATTATCGTGATTTCGTCCGATTTCTCTAGCACCGAGTCTCAGGTGATCGATACTTTTAGTGATAATGAGGGACTCTTTTTCTGAGAGTGAGTCGAGTAGCTTGTCTATAGGTATGGACCTCGATCTGGATAGATGGGGGACTTCTAGCATTGATCCTGATCCTATGTTGGATTCTGACTATATGCAGAACTCGGTGGAGACTGAGCCAACCGAAGATGAGTCTAGCTCCAATAGCTCTTCTTCTTCGATGTAGAGTTTAAATAGTAGGACAATTTTGTAATAACAGTATATGAGGTTCCTTAGCTACTCTTTTGGAGTATATAGGACTTTTTGGTAGGGAAACATGTATATATGTAAACCCATATACTTCTATATGTGTATAAACTAAAAGGTTAATAATATACTTTTGGCTTGTAATTATTGATTATGCTATGTTGCTGAACAATGATTGAAATCATAATATCTTAACTTGTGTATATGTGACCATCATATAACTTGTCTTTTGTACAATAGTTGATTCCAACATTTTATTATTATAAGGAGATATGGCTGCGAATAATGACCAAACCCCTCCGCACAAAGATAACGATCTCAACCAAACAATAAGGGAGCTAATGAGATCTAGAGTGACTCATGTGTCAACCTCTGGGAGTCATGTAGACAACAACACATTAATAGGATTACTACAAGCAGTGACATCTATAGTCACCAGACAGCAAGATCAAATTGACCACAACTAGATGAATGGCCAGAGCAATGAACAATCAAAATTAAGGAGCCAGATAAGTGAATTCAAGAAATTATCCCTGCCCAGTTTTAAGGGAACTACTGATCCGATGGTCGCCAAACATTGAATCACTGAAATAGAAAAAAGTCTTCATATATATGAAATGTCTTGAAGAGGAAAAAGTTGATTATGTAGTCTACATGCTAAAAGATCATGCTTATGGATGGTGGCAAATACAAGTCAGGACGTTGGGAGAAAATGTGTACAAGATATCATGAGATGAATTCAAAAAGATCTTTTATGAAAAGTATTTTCCCTCAGCGGTCCGCAAGCAAAAAGAACAAGAATTTTGAAGGTTAGAGAAAGGTGATAAGATAGTAGCGGAATATGAGGAGTTCACTTATCTGTCAAAATTTTCTACTCAATTGCTGGGGAAGGAAGATGATAGAGCTCGTCGCTTTGAAGAAGACCTTCGATCGGACTTCAGGAAGACAATATGTGCATTTGAACTCCCGACATATGGAGAAGTATTAAAGAAGGCCTTGTTAAATAAGAAAAATGAGATAGATGCGAAATTAAAGAATGAGGTGAGCAACTCCTATCCAAAAAAGCGAATTTGGCAAGATAATCACAGTGGGAGAAATAAAAATTGGAGGAATAAGAAACAGAATGTAGGGCGTAGAGAGGAGCAACTTCAGAACCAAAAGGTTGTGAAATGTGATATTTGTCATATACCCGGCCATGAAGTGAAGAACTGTTGGAGAAGTATTGGAGCATGTCTCAAATATGGGCAAAAAGATCATAAAATTGCAAATTGCTCAAAACTACAAAGGAATCAGAATACCTTAAAGACCGATCAGTCCAGCAGTAGGAACAGGTAACCTCAAGCTAAGGCTCGAGTATATTCCTTGACTGAGAAGGAAGCTGAAGCAGACAAAAACGTGGTGACATGTATGATAACTTTTGCATCCATTCATGCTCGAGTACTTTTTATTCTAGTGCATCACTCTTTCATTGCTGCACAGTTTGTTAAGAGAAACAAATTACCCAATGACACCTTAAAATAAGAATTATTTGTTAGTACACCCCTGGGGGTAGTATATTAGTATCACATCAGGGTTGTAAGGGAAACATTAAAATTCTCAACAATGAGCTTCCAGCAGAATTAGTAATGTTGGAAATGCATGATTTTAATATCATATTAGGGATGGATTAGTTATCTTTAAATCATGCTTCTATTTTGTGTCGAGCAAAGAAAGTGATATTTAAATTTTCGGGTCAACTCGAATTCTGTTTTGAGGGTTGTAAATCCTGAGAATCCTTAAAAATCATCTCAGCCCTTAAAGCCTATCGGGCATTGAGAAGTGAATGTATGAGTTATTTAGATTCAGTTGAAATTAAAGATGATGGAAAACCAAGCCTAGAAGAGATACTAGTTGTCCGAAAATTTTCAGAGGTATTCAGAAGAACTTTCAAGAATGTCTCCAGATAGAGAGATTGAATTTTTAATTGACGTAATACCCAGTACAAGTCTAATTTCTAAGGCTTCCTATCGTATGACACCAGCTGTGTTGAGAGAGCTCAAGGTGCAATTACAAGAACTTTTAGATAAAGACTTCATTAGGCCTAGTGTGTCACCCTGGGGTGCGTCAGTATTATTTGTGAAGAAGAAAGACGGTAATATGATCCTATGTATTGACTTCCGTGAATTGAATAAGGTAATCATTCGGAACAAATATCCATTACTAAGAATTGACGATCTATTTGATCAAAACTACAAAGAGCTCAAGTATTTTCGAAGATTGATCTCCATTCTGGTTATTATCAGCTAAAGATCAAGCTAGAGGATGTGCCAAAACCTGCATTTCAAACCTGCTATGGTCATTATGAATTTCTAGTATTACCATTCAGGCTCACAAATGCACCTGTCTTTTTATGGACCTTATGAATAGGGTGTTTAAACTCTTCTTAGATCGGTTTGTTGTAGTATTTATTGATGAAATCCTGATTTACTCAAGAAGCAAAGAAGAGCATGAAGAACACCTGAGATGTGTACTGCAAACATTAAAGAGAGAAATTATATGAGAAATTTAAAAAATATGAGTTTTAGTTAGAGAAAGTAACGTTCCTTGGACATGTAATCTCTAAGGAAGGAATTTCTGTAGACCCTGAAAAGATAAAAACTATAATTAATTGGGATAGGTCAACTAACGTGACGAAGATCCGTAGTTTCCTTGGTATGACTAGCTACTATAGAAAATTTGTAGAAGAATTTTCTCGTATTGCTTCATCTCTGACTCATCTTACCCAGAAAGGTGTTAAATTCATCTAGTCAGCTGAATATGAGAAAAACTTTCAAGAGTTAAAAAGCAGATTAGTATCTGCTCCAATACTTGCATTACCCTCTGGAGATATAGGTTTTGCTATCTACAGTGATGCTTCTAGAAGAGGACTGAGATGTATTCTTATGCAAAATGGAAAAGTCATAGCATATGCTTCAAGGCAGTTAAAACCTTATGAGTAGAATTATCCCACTCATGACCTGGAATTAGCGGTTGTAGTGTTTGCTCTCAATATTTGGAGACATTATTTTTATGGTATACATTGTGAAATATACACTCACCACAAGAGTTTGAAATATATATTCAATCAAAAGGAGTTAAATTTGCTGCAAAGAAGATAATTGGAGCTTCTAAAAGATTATAACATTACCATCAATTACCCCGGCAAGGCAAATGTTGTTGCTTATGTCTTGAGTTGTAAGAATCCATGCAATCTAGCATATTTAATTACTTCTCAAAGAAAGATATTGGAGGAGTTAGATCGTAATGGAATTGAAATTAGAGTTCACCAAATTAGAGTTAAATTAGCAAATAGGGTGATACAACATTCTTTGATAGATAAAGTTAAAGCAAACCAACAGAAGGATCCTCAACTAGTGAAGATAAAGAAAGATGGGGAAGAAGACACTCGAAGAGAGTTTAAAATACATGAAGATGGGTCATTAAGGTTTGGAAAAAGAATTTGTGTGCCTGATATACCAGAGATAAAGAAGAAGATTTTAAAAGAGACATACCACTCTCTGTATACTATGTATCCTGGATCAACAAAGATGTATACAAATCTAAAGTAAATCTATTGGGGGAATAACATGAAGAAAGAAATTGCTACTTATGTTGCGGAATGTCTTACTTGCCAACAAGTAAATGCTGAACACCAAAGACCAGCTGGTTT